CCGACGGGGGCGCCGATCCGGCCGTCAGCTCCTGGGCGCCACACCTGCTGAACGGGGTCCCCGAGCTGACGGCCAGCCCCTCGCCCGCCTGGGACGGAACTCCGGACAACGTCTCCGGCTGCGGAGAGCAGATCAACTACGGCAAAGCCGAGAAAGTTGTGATCGGCTCCATCCTGACGCTCATCACGCTGCTGACGATCGCGGGCAACTGCCTGGTGGTGATCTCCGTGTGCTTCGTCAAGAAGCTCCGCCAGCCCTCCAACTACCTGATCGTGTCCCTGGCGCTGGCCGACCTCTCGGTGGCCGTGGCGGTCATGCCCTTCGTCAGCGTCACCGACCTCATCGGGGGCAAGTGGATCTTTGGCCACTTCTTCTGCAACGTCTTCATCGCCATGGACGTCATGTGCTGCACGGCCTCAATCATGACTCTGTGCGTGATCAGCATTGACAGGTAAGGGCCGGGCCACCCCGTCCGGGTCCGGTCGGGATGTGCTGGCCGCTCAGCCTCGCGCGCTCGCCTTTCTCGGGATGATCAAGGCTGACTTCATGGCGGGATGAAGGGCTGAGCTTAAAATACAGTCCCACAAGCAGCGACCCTACTACTTTAATGACAGCCTGTATACACACACCTAAAAGAAAAAACCGAAATGTTCTTATTAATATAGTGATAATTTTAAGACCAAAGTTAAGAGTATTTTAAGCATTAGCAGTTCCACCAGGGGGTTCCTTGGTCTGGTTTTTAGAAGGAAGAGATTTGATGCTCTTTGACTTGGCAAACCCTTGCTGTGAGCAGTAGAATTATTTCTTGCTTTAAGAAATCAGTTGAAAAAAGCTGCCTTATTTCTGATTGTAGGAGCAACTCTCTAGGCCAATGAAAGGACCTTGGATGGTTCCAGAAGTAGGGGGTCTACCTGTCTTAAATGCTTTACTCTTGTGATTGATAATTCTGAATGCCGTTATTGTGGAAGTCTGATTTCAGTGTTTGGCAACGCTGTCGCTTTCTTGCCAGCTCACTGGATCCTTACTCCTTGTCAAAAAGGTAGGTTCTTGTTTTTCTTCATCTTATCCATTGGGAACCTTCTCTTGGGAACTCCCTCAATGGAATAATCAAAACAGGGATGCTAAGGGAAAATTGCAGCTTTGGGTATCATGTTGAACTAGGGGACCTTACCGTTTCTTTAGTCTAAGACTACAGGATTTTGAAATGAAGCTAGTCTTTAACCCAAGAAATATTATGCAATTGAGAGCCTGAAGTATGGTCTTAATGCTCTTCAACCACAGAACAACTCTGATTCACTTATTACTATTTCAGCTGAAATAGTAAACCACAATATTCACACCCAGGATTTTGCTGGTGTTTTAAAACCAGCGCAGATTAGTATCCTATGGGATTAATGATACGGTTAACAGTTGCTTATTTCTTAGTCTGCTTATAAAACCTTTGTGTGTATAGACCTTTCAACATAGGAAAATAATAGATGCCTCCACATTTAAAATAACAGTGCCCCAAAAGGGTGATCTAGCATGTAGCTGAGATTTTCCTTCTTTTCCTCCTTGAAAACACTGCTATTTGTGGCCTGCTGGTATTTAAGACGTTCTGCGGTTTTACTGATTGATCAGAGTTTATAATTACTAAATAAAGGGAAGATAGGAAAGGGAATATTTTTGAAGAAGAAAGAAGAAATACATCATAGCTGTATTGAATTAGAGCTTTAGATTTTAAAGAAATTGATCCTTCCATTTTATGTATCATGGCAGAAGCTTCTGACAGCAAACAAGGAATTATTTTAAGAATGGAGCATGAACTGCATATGTGAGAATACTGGCATCAAACTTGGCAGCTGAAGTTCTGAATTACTGTAGTTAAGAATGACAAAAACATATGCATTTACAGTCTGGCTGTGGCAACAAGAATTAGGAGAGTGCACTCAATATACATAATAAGTATATACGTGAATTGTAAGCACAGACATCTGACTGCTCAGCCAACCAAAACAGTGCCTCTTCATGAATGAAGCCCTTGCAAATGGAATTTAGTGTAATAAAACAAATGACAATTTATGCTGCAAGTAGTACATTTATATCCCCTTTTCCATTTAATAATTAATAAATGAAAAAGAAGTAGCACATTGTGTTAACCTATCTCCTAAGACAACCAGTGCTCTTGTTCTTCTGGGCACATTTAAGTTCGACTGAGGTCACTCTGTGATTCCTGTACCTGAAGTAAAAGCATTCTTCACTGCATGTGCACAAACGATTGAGCACCAGTAGCGATGTCCTGAATATAGGGAAGAGGTTAATTCTTCTTGTCATGAGGTTCTGATTTCTTGCTTAAATCTGTTCTTGTGATTGAAGCAAATTATGGTAATATAGGCATATAGATTCTTTCCCATTTTTATCCGATGAAAATTGCCCCATAGTGACTTCTGCCTAAAAATAATTTTAGATCAGCATATCATTTCTTTCCATAAAGTGAAGAATTGATAAAATTGGAAGACACAGATTGATTTTCTTCGAAGAACATGCAAAATTAAAAAAGAGAAATGCAGTGGATAGCCAAGGTGATTTATTTCCAAGAGAATGTTTCTTTCAGTTCTAATGCACAATATGCCAGATAATATAAAATGTGCTGTTGATATAAAACGTGAAAAAATTCAATCTTCATTCCCTTATTCAGTTCCCCTCAAGTACCTAATATGGGTTACAATATACTTTGTGCAGCACAATAAAAGATGAATAACAATATTCTTATATTACTGTATTGTGAGAGATTGCATGTCTGTGGGGCATTAAAAGTGCTGGCCCAAATGAAACCTCTGATTTTTTTCTAACCATTCTCCATAACAATGGGGTGCTTTCCTAGCCTTTTCTAATGCAAAGCCATATTGTTTTTCACAGGCTTAAAAACGCCCACCTTCACCCTTTTCATATAATGACTGAGTTCATTGAAAAAGTGGTAACTATTGGATGGGAACTCTTTTATCTTTCCACCATTAACCAGTCTTCCTTGAATTGTGCACTTCTTTTTGTTTCTTTTCAGTTAAAAAGCAAGTTGGTATTGTTCCTAGTAAACACCAAACCACCTGAACCTTATATTCCATCTTCTCACCTTTTCAAAAACTGTTCCCATATTGATTCCTCATCCCTGGTGTCTCTTCAGCTTTTTCTTTCTACTAGGTCAACCTCAAGCTTCTGTGTTGAAGAAACCTTGCTTTGGCCTTAATTTTGTTTTCTAGTTCACAATTACACTTCTTCAAGGCCTGTATCCATAACCTGTCTTTCCTTTCTTTCTCATTATAGATGAATTTGGCATTCACCAGGCCTACTGCAAAATTCGAACTGGCCTTCCTAGCTCCACTTCTGTCCACCTTCCCATCCAGTCCCTGTGAAGAAGATAGAATGGTCCATTTAAACTTTTTAAAAAGTGAGATAATGTTTAGATAGAGCAAAATACACAAATCTTAAATGTCCTCTTCAGCCTATGTAACCACTACTGCAGCCAAGATATAGGATATTTTCATCCTAGAAAGTTCTCTTTTAAAAATAGAAATCAAATTACCCTTTATACATAGTTTCAAAACATGCAGAACAGTTCTATACATTGTTTAGGGAAGCTTATGTAAGGAGTAAGATTATAAAATCATGCAGAGGCATGATGGACGTCAAATTCAGGAGTGTGACAATCTCTACTGGGGTGGGCAGAGTGTGATCATTACGTGCACAAGCAACTGTATTGAGACTTTTGTTTCTTGATATCGGTGGATAAGTCTTCTTATTTTTCGTATAACTTTTTATGTGATCAAATATATTTTTAAATTTATTTTTTGTAAGAAATATGTATTGATTTCACAATTTTCTTTTCTTTTTTCTTTTTGATACTGGGGATTGAACTCTGGCCCTTGCACTTGTGAGGCAGGCTGCAGGAACCACTGAGCCAAATGCCCAGCCCTCAAGAAATATATTGAAAAGTGCACAACACTAAGTATGGAGCTTGATGAATTTCTGCAAAGTAAAGACATCCTCATGATCAACCATATCAAGAAGTAGAACCTTGTCAACATTCCAGAAGTTCCCTCTCCCTTCCCAGTTTTCAAGACCCTCCCAGACACTCGTTATCCTAACTTTTAACATCATCATGCAGTTCTGTTTGGCCAGGACATCATTTCAGTGGAATTATATCTCCTTTGAATCTGGCTTCTTATGTTCACACCTGTGAGGTTCATCCACAGTTTTTAGTGATTCCTTCATTTTTATTGTAGAGTAGTAGTCCAGTGTATCAATATGGTATAATTTATCAGTTCACCTACAGCATGGGTTGAGTTGTTTCTAGTTTCTGGTTATTACCTATAATGATTCTCTGAATATGTATTTCTGTACAAGTCATTTTGTGGATAGGTTTTAACTTATGTTCAGTAAACACAAAGCTGAATAATAAGGAGCCTTAGACTATTTTAATTGTGTGCATTCTCACTCCTTTTGTATTATTGTTATCATTCATTTCAAGTCTATTGATTTTAAAAACCCACTAGATATCATTGTTATTTTCCCCTTTTCTCCTATTCCTCCCTCCCTCCCTCCACCCCCTCCCTCC